GACGCGGCGGGCAGGTGGCGACGCCGCGGGCAGGTCAACGCGACGGGCAGGGGACGACGCCGCGGGCAGGCGACGACGCCGCGGGCAGGCGACGACGCCGCGGGCAGGCGACGACGCCGCGGGCAGGCGACGACGCCGCGAGCAGGCGACGACGCCGCGGGCAGGCGACGACGTCGCGGGCAGGCGACGACGCCGCGGGCAGGCGACGACGCCGCGGGCTGGCGACGACGCCGCGGAAAGCGGGCCGCGCGCGGGTGGCTAGCAGGCCGTGCGTGCGCGGTAGGGAGAGGCGCACGAGGGCGCAAGAGCGCACGAGGGCGCGCGGTAGGGAGAGGCGCACGAGGGCGCGAGGGCGCACGAGGGCGCGCGGTAGTAAGAGGCGCACGAGGGCGCGAGGGCGCACGAGGGCGCGCGGTAGTAAGAGGCGCACGAGGGCGCGAGGGCGCACGAGGGCGCACGGTAGTAAGAGGCGCACGAGGGCGCGAGGGCGCACGAGGGCGCACGGTAGGTAGGTAGGTAGGTAGCGGTGGGCCCTAAAACGGTCCTAGTGAAGGACCTGCTCTGATACCATGTCAGAATGAACGGACAGGAATGATTGAACTAACAGTGAAATCAGTACAAGTACCTAACCCTAGAATTGTGTACCCCCTATAGGCTAACCCACTGTAGCCTAAACAAACACAACATATATAATGTTTGACAGCGTGAACGCGGCAGAGGAGTGTTAACGGGAGTTGGGTGTTGGCCTCATACCCGCTTGGGCGGAGCCGACTTTATGGTCGGGTATGCGGGGCGTGCAGTCGACCATGGGATCCTAGAATTTAGGCCTGTCTGAAAACCCAAAACAAAAGATTGTTTCGTTTGACATTCAGACGGGCAAAGTTTTTTGGTCTGACTTTTCGTATGAAACTTGGGGCTTTGACTGTTTTTCCATGCAGAATGTTTTCCATGGTCTGATCATAAAGAGAAATAATCTACAACGGGAGCTAGACTACGGTGGAAGGCACTGTGGTAAGAATGATCATAAACTTGTGTGTTTGCTCGTGTTCTCTCTTAGCACAATTCGCAGGAAAACTCGCAAAGTTTCACTAGCAAAAGCTCACAACAATGATTGCAACAACATTGGCAAGGCTGACCACATCAGAAGCAAGTATGCCTAGCATGCAAGCAGGACGAATCGTAGTGTAGCAAGTTCGACCGCGTTCCAGCACTGCAAAGTCCGCACCGCTCCAGCGTTGCAAAAAGGCGGCTTGCCAACGCTCCAAGTCGACGCCGTGCCAACGCTGCAGCAAGGCAGCTATCCAGTGTTGCACCTGCAGGTGAGAGCTGCGCACCTACTTCGCATATGCTTGTAGTCGGTTGGCGCAACGTGCATCGTCACGTGCACGGCGCAGGTGCTAGGTTGACCACGTGTCGTTAACTGCACCTGATCAGCCACGTTGATCTCGAGATACCACTCCGAGGTCGGGTTCGCCAGAACCATTTGGGAGACGGTCGCGCACCCTGAAGATTCTTGTCGCCATGGTAACTCGGTCAACCGGGACACCACCAAGTCGGCGTCGACTTGTGCGGTAAAACTCAACCAACAGTTGTTCGTGCGCGTCGATCACCCAGGTCGATGACCTCCCGTCGACTTCACCAAGTCAGCCATTCCGCAGGTTAACGAACTCCTCCGTCGACCGCGCCTGCTGTTTGCAGACTTTGTCAACTCGGCTTCCCCAAGTCGGCATCACCAAGTCGACGCCCTTCCTGGCTGGCTTTACCGAGTCACCCTCCCACAACCTCCCAAGTCGACGACTCCCTTTGTCGACCACAGTCAAAGTCGACCACTCGCTTCCCCATCGTCGTCGGCTTCGCAGTGTGGCCCTGAGCATGTCAACCAAGCCTGTGGACCTGCTCATCTAAGTCGACGTCGCCCACTCCGCTGTGATTTGCTTCATTTGCAGTTTGATGTTTCGACACATCAGAAGCGTTAATTGTTTCCAACACTCCCCTTCGCTTCTGGAGTGTCATTGCTGGTGGCATGGCCTTGTCCAGTCAGCAGTCTGCAGTACTCGAACATCTGCTTTTCGAACTTCTTGGTCAAGTAATCTGCTGCCATCTCGGATGTGGGGCAGTAGGATAGCTCGAGTCTCCCCTTCTCGATCTCGTCTTTCACGAAGAAATATCGCAGGGCGATGTGCTTCGTTCTGTTCGCGAACGCGTTCTTGTTCGCTATGCGGATTGCTGATTGGTTGTCGCAGAACAGGGAGAAGCTGGGTAACTGAGCCAGCTTCGCTTCTTCCAGCAGTTCGCGGAGGTACAATCCTTCCTCTCTGGTTGAACAGAGTGCGATATATTCTGCTTCAACTGAGGAGAGAGCGATTAGCCCTTGCTTGCTCGACTACCAGGAGATGGGATCGATAGGTTCAATTTGGTAGATGTAGCTATTGCGCGAGCGCCTGTTGTCGGAGTCGCCGGCGTGGTCAGCATCCACGTAGCCGATTAGCTTGGGCGTCGTAGTTCTGGTTTTGTGGTAGGTTAGGCCGATTGTCGGAGTGTAGATGAGGTAGTGCAGTGCACTGTCAAGCTCTGCCATGTGCTCTGCTTCTTGAGGTAGGTGGCGAGTTGGCTCGCTGAGTACGATAGGTCCGGTCGGCAAGTGACGGAAGCGAAGAGTAGGCATCCCAGCTTTTGCTGGTAGTCGTGTATGTCGGTAGATTTGAGCAGGGCAGAGGTTTCCTTGCTATTTCCATTGGTGTAGCGGTATGGTGTCGCGATGACGGATGGGGTTAGTCCGAAACGCTTGGCGATGGTGTCGGCGTATTTTGCAGCGCTGAAGTAGATTGTGTTTCCCCCGTCTTGTATGTTGAGCCCCAGGTATTGTGTTAGCCAAGCGTGTAGGTACTACTGCCACAACCTTGGAGCTTTCTTGATGCCGTATAGGGACTTCAGCAGCTGACAGACTTGGTTAGGGTCTGTGCTTGACCCGTGTGGTTGCTCGACGAAGATTTCGGCGTCGACGGGAGCGTAGAGGAAAGCGTTAGCCACGTCAATTTATCGGAGCTTCTTCCACTTCATGGCGGCTATCGCGAGGTGAATCCATAGTGACGTGTGTCGGCTGACCGGCGCGAAGGTCTCAGTGAAGTCTCGTCCCCCGATGTTCCCACCCCCGATGTTCCCACCCCTGCAGTTCCCCCCACCACACCAGCACCCGCAGCCACACCTGGCAGCCCCCCAAGCTGCTGGTCTGTGAGGGGCGCATTCCCCCCAGCAGCAGCAGCAGCAGCGGCGGCCTGCATGCCGGCGAGCTGGCGGTCGACGGCGTGGGCGTGGGCGCGGCGGGCGAAGAGCGTCTGCAGGGCGGGGCTCATGGCCTGGAAGGCGTGGGCGTCGAGGGGGCGCTGCAGGAAGGCGTCGATGGCCACCACGCGCTGCGCGTCCGTCAGCGAGGGCAGCGCCTGCACTGCCTGCACCGCCCTCACCACACTGTCTGCTACTGCGTCTGATGGGGGGGTTGGGGGGGGGGAAAGGGGGGGGGGGGAGGAGAGAAGGGGAGGCCAAAGCTGTGTCCTCTGATGGATCAGAAGGAGCTTGAGAGGAGAAACTTTGCACCGAATTGGATACACTGCCTGCCACCACGTGTGGTGGGGAAGAAAAAAGGGGGGAAGGGAGAGGGGGGTAAGTTTTGGAAGGAGGGTGGAAAGAGAGAAATAGATTCGACCCAGATCACCAAACTTAGCTCGTTTAAGTCTCTGCTGATCTATGCTTAGGCTAGGTAGGAATTGAGTAAGCAAGGAAATTTCATTCCAAGACTGAGCATACATGCGTTTCGGCACAATGGACTTCGTCAGCGCTTTCAGGATTACAAGAAAAAACTTTTGGAGAGCGCTGACTAAGGCCATTGTGCCGAACCGCACGTACGCTCAGTCTTGGAATGACATATTCTTGCTTAGTCAATCCCTAACTAGCCTAATCATAGATCAGCGGAGATCATAACGAGCGAAGTCTGATGATTTGGATAAAATTTATTTCTCTCTAAGTATGTATGAGGGCGATGTTGGCACGTCCTGCACCGACTTGAACACACTGTCCGCCTCCGCATCTGACGGTGAGGGGGATTGGAAGGGAGCGGTGGGAAGGGAGTAAAAAGGGGTTAATTTGTACAAGTATCATGATTTTGAGAAATATAATAGCTACTGTTGCTATCTTCATGTTGCTCATTTTGACATCAAATTTTCCGCCATATCTCCTTGGCTCCAGCATTTGTTACTCTGATCCTGGACAAATTTGACACTGGAAGGAAGTTGTGCCTTTATATCACATCACATCACATCCCATCCCGTCCCATCTCATCTCATCGCATCGCATCAGCATCCCCATCCCATCCCATCCCATCCCATCCCATCCCATCCCATCCCATCCCATCCCATCCCATCCCATTCCATCCCATCCCATCCCATCCCATCCCATCCCATCCCATCCCATCCCATCCCATCCCATCCCATCCCATCCCATCCCATCCCATCCCATCGCATCGCATCCCATCCCATCGCACCCCACCCCATCCCATCCCATCCCATCCCATCCCATCGCATCCCATCCCATCGCACCCCACCCCATCCCATCCCATCCCATCCCATCCCATCACATCCCATCCCATCCCATCCCATCCCATCCGATCCCTCGCATCCCATCCCATCCCATCCCATCCCATCCCATCCCATCCCATCCCGCCCATCCTATCCCATCACATCACATCACATCGCATCGCATCGCATCGCATCCCATCCCACCCCATCCCATCCCATCCCATCCCATTTCATCCCAACCCATCCCATCCCATCCCATCCCATCCCATCCGGTCCCATCCCGTCCCATCCCATCCCATCCCATCCCACCCATCCTATCCCATCACAACGCATCAAAGCACACCACACCTTAGTGCACGTCACATATATCTATGCACGTGCGACATCACCTACCTCTAAGCATGCGTGCCTTCTCCTCACCCCACCTCTATGCACGTGCGGCTGGCCCTTCTCCGCCATGCTCTTGAGGGCACGCGCCACACTCTCCATCACCCGCCGCTGCCGCTGCCCCTCCCTCACCTGCAACCACACCGGTCTTGACCGCTTTACACCCCTCCCCCCTCTCCCCTCCTCCCTTCTCTCTCTTCCCTGCCTCTCCCCCGCCCCATTTCCTCCTCCATCTCCTCCTCCCCCATCCCCCTCGCCCTCAACCCCTCTCCTCTCAATGCCGCCTTGCTCCCTCCTACTTGCTGCCATGTCAGCAATCCGAGCTGCCAGCCTCGCAGGGTACTCGTCCCTCTCATCCGCACTTGCACCACCAGTCCCACCCAAACGAGCCACGTCAGCACAAGCCCCGTCAGCACGAGCCCCGTCCGCAGCACGAGCCACATCAGCAGAGGTGACATTGTTGCGTGCCACCTCAGCATGCGAAACACCATTGACCCGCGGAGCGTCAGCTGCACGGTCGAACCCACCATTCCCCTGTGCAGCCCCGACCCCACCACTCCCAACCCCATCCTCCTCCTCTTCTCCATCCTCCTCCTCTCCCTCTCCTTCTCCCGAATCCTCCTCCTCCTCGTCCTCCTCCCTCCTCGTCCTCTTCCCACTCGACCTCAGCAGGGCACGTGTGGACATTGAGCAGAGCGAGGGGCAGCCAGGGCGCCGTGTGAGTGCACCACCGCCTGTACTGCTCCCACCGCCCGTGCTGCTTCAGCCACAGGCTGATACCCAGCTGAAGCAGGGCGGTGGGGGGGTGGAGGGAGCGGGGAAAGGGGGGTAAGAGGGATAGGAGAAAAGGAGTGAAAGGAGGGAGGGAAAAGGAGTGCGGTCGTTGCCGTGCAGGGCTTCCGTGAGAGAGAGGAGGCAGAGGAGGCGGAGGAGGGTGGCAAACCCTAAAGAACAACCACCTTTGGGTGGTGAACGAACCACAGAGCACCTTGAGCTCTCTCACCTCTTCCTCTCACCTCGCCCTCTCACCTCTTCCTCTCACCTCACCCTCTCACCTCTTCCTCTCACCTCGCCCTCTCACCTCTTCCTCTCACCTCGCCCTCTCACCTCTTCCTCTCACCTCGCCCTCTCACCTCTTCCTCTCACCTCGCCCTCTCACCTCTTCCTCTCACCTCGCCCTCTCACCTCTTCCTCTCACCTCGCCCTCTCACCTCTTCCTCTCACCTCGCCCTCTCACCTCTTCCTCTCACCTCGCCCTCTCACCTCTTCCTCTCACCTCGCCCTCTCACCTCTTCCTCTCACCTCGCCCTCTCACCTCTTCCTCTCACCTCGCCCTCTCACCTCTTCCTCTCACCTCGCCCTCTCACCTCTTCCTCTCACCTCGCCCTCTCACCTCTTCCTCTCACCTCGCCCTCTCACCTCTTCCTCTCATCTCGCCCTCTCACCTCTTCCTCTCACCTCGCCCTCTCACCTCTTCCTCTCACCTCGCCCTCTCACCTCTTCCTCTCACCTCGCCCTCTCACCTCTTCCTCTCACCTCGCCCTCTCACCGCCTCACCGCGCCCTCTCACCTCGGCCTTTCACCTCGCCCTCTTAACTCGCCATCTCACCGCCTCACCTCGCCATCTCACCATCCCACCACCTCACCTCGCCATCTCACCATCTCACCACCTCACCTCGCCATCTCACCATCTCACCACCTCTCCTCGCCATCTCACCATCTCACCACCTCACCTCCCCATCTCACCATCTCACCGCCTCACCTCGCCCTCTCACCTCACCGCCTCACCTCGGGGTCAGCATTGAAGCACTGAGTGGTGGGGTCCCAGGTGACTTCAGGCGGCAGCAGCTCCTGGAGAAACTGAATATCCTTCACCCACCCGCGCACCGTACCGCACCGCATTCGCAGCTGCTTCTTCGAGTACCGCGGAAACCCCCGCCGCAACCACTCGCGGTGCACCGCCCCCCAGTCCTCGATCCGGCCAGGGAGGGGGGAGCCCTCAGCGCGCAACACGTCCCGAATGATCTCCAAAAGAGCTGTTGTCTGCTCGTCGTCCCACATCGCCCGCCACTTGCTGCTTTGCAATGCTTGTTCCCCCCGTTTGCGCGACCCCGTGTCTGTGCCTGTGTCTATACCTGTGCCCGTGCCCGCGCCCGTGCCCGTGCCTGTGCCCATGCCTGTACCTGTGCCCGTGGCTGTGCCCGTGCCTGTTCCCGTGCCTGCGAGTCCGGCACCGCCCCTCCCTGTCGAGCCATTGCCCAGCAACTCAAGCTCGTAGGTGTTCGCGTGTGGGGGGGGCACGGGGAGATCAAGGGGGGGCGGATGGAGGAGGGAGAGGGGAAGGCATAAGGGGGGAGGGCGGGCTGTGCGCGGTCAGGGGTTGCTGTGGGTGCGGTATCCCCTGAGAGGTCATTGGGGCTTGCTGCTGCTTCATCCCCACTCAAGAGGTCGTAATCACCCGGGTCGTCTGAGTAGCACCTGTCGCCATCCCCTGTCGTGCATGCGTGGCTGCCATGACGCGTTACCCGCTCCCCAAGGCTAAGCCACGGAGCGGTGTGGGTGAGCCACCGCTTGTAATCATCCCATTTACGCGGAGGGATGTCGACATCACGAACCTGCATGATACGGGAATGGGGAGGAGAGGTGGTGTAAAAAAATAGAAGTCCCCTTTTCAAATTGTAATTCATTGCCCACACAAGGAGACGCGCAGTGCCTAGGAGGCTTATTATTGAGAATTCCTAAAAACGACTCCAACTCACCATGATACTCGGGTCGAAGAAGTCGCGTGCAGGGTCCCAGTTCACACCTTCTCGCACCCACGACTGGAGTTGCCTGATGTCTTTCACCCACGCCTTCACAGCAGTGAGCCGGTTCCGCAGCTGCTCCGTCATGAAGTTCAAATCCGCATGCTGGGCATTCCATCGGGCGAACACAGCGTCCCAGCACTGCACTTTGACAAAGGGCGCCCTGCCTGTATCCCGCATGGCCGCTATGACGCAGCGGAGGAGGTCGGCTGTGAGGTCATCGGTCCACATTGGGAATGACCTTGTGCCAGTGGCAGTGATTCTAGCTGGGCCTCTACTTGCATTGGACGGGAGTGCAGCGGGTGCGGTAGTGGGGCTTGCTGCAGGAGCGGCGGGTGGAGATGCAGCGTGTGGGGGAACGGCGGATGCTGCAGGAGCGAGGGAAGCGGATGCAGGAGGATGGGATCCGGGGGCACTCGAAGGCACAGACGGGTGAGGACTGCTGTGCTCAAGTCCCAGGCGGCGGCGCTGCCGACCTCTATCATGCGCTGCATCCGCCACTTCATCCGCCACTTCATCCCCACTCGAGAGATCGTCTCCACCTGGGCCGTCTGAGTAATATCTGTCGCCATCCCCTGTCATTGTGAATGCGTACCTGCTGCTACGCAAGCGGGACTTGGGTACAACCTGCTCGCCTAGGCTGAACCACGGTGCGGTGTGGTAGACCCACCGTTTATAATCATCCCATTTACCATCCTTCGTGATATTATCATTATCACGAACCTGCACGATAAGGGAATGGGAGGAGAGTGGTAGGTACAAATATTTAAATGCCCTCTTCAACTTGAGAGTCACTGTTAGCACAATGAGACAGACAGGCAGCGCCGTTTTGAAGGCTTACCATGGGATGCGGGTCGAAGTGAGGGAGGCTTACCATGGTATGCGGATCGAAGCGATCGGTAGCGGGGTTCCAAGTCACTCCCGGGCGCACCCTTGACTTGAGTTGCCTGATGTCTTTCACCCACCCCTTCAGCGTGGTGAGCCGGTTCCGCAGCTGCGCTTCCGTGAAGCACAAGTCAGCATGCTGGGCATTCCACCGGGCGAACACAGCGTCCCAGCACCGGACCTTGGCGAAGGTAGCCCTGCCTGCATCACGCATGGCCGCTATGACACAGCGGAGGAGGTCGGCTGTGAGGTCATCGTCCCACTTTGGGTGGGTTCTAGCTGGGCCTCTACTTGCAGTAGGGAGCTCGCTGGGAATAGAGCCGTTGGGTGGCAGCGGAGGGCGTGGAGGGTCGGCAAAGGGTGGTCGCGGAGGGTCGGCAAAGGGTGGGCGTGGAGGATCGGCAAAAGGTCGCCGTGGAGGGTTGGCAAAGGGTGGGCGTGGAGGATCAGCGAAGGGTGGTCGTGGAGGGTCGGTAAAGGGTGGTGGTGGACGGTTGGCAAAGGGTGGGCGTGGAGGTTCAGCAAAGGGTGGGCGTGGAGGTTCGGCAAAGGTTGGGCGTGGAGGTCCGGCAAAGGTTGGGCGTGGAGGTTCGGCAAAGGTTGGGCTTGGGGGTTTGGCAAAAGAGCTGACAAGGTGCGATGGCGGCAATTGACTGCCGATGGCGATGGGGGTGCAAAAGACAACAGCATTGCCATTGCCATTGCCATTGCCATTGCCAGGCACGTAACTGTCTTCGATCTGTGTGGTCTCATCTTGGCAAAGAAGACTCGTCTCACAGACCACTGGTGTGCCAGTCGATCCGGCCCAGGCTGAAGCCTGCATGTCAACTAGCGGCGGGGACCCTGGATGTGACGAGCCTGAATGTGACGAGCCTGGATGTGACGAGCCTGAATGTGACGAGCCTGGATGTGACGAGCCTGAATGTGACGAGCCTGGATGTGACAAGCCTGAATGTGACGAGCCTGAATGTGATAAGTCTGAATGTGACGAGCCTGGAGGTAAGGACGAAGTGGGCAGGAGGATAGAGAGTGACCACGGGGGAAAGAGAGGGTGGAGAGGGGAAGAAAGTGAGCAGGGGGGAGAGAGTGAGCAGGGGGGAGAAAAAGGCACTTCCGAAGGATGAGGTCCTGGGATCGAACCCACCCCCGTGCAGGCGTGTTCTGCCAGCCCCCCAAGAAGGGTTTCGCACGTGCTCACCTAGGAAATGGATATTCCTATTGATTACGATCAATATTTGACTTGAAAGAAAAGGGGGGGGAGGAGAGGGTGACTAAGGGGGAAGAGGGTGTCAATGGGGGAATAGAGTGATCAGGGAGAAGTGAGCAGCAGGGAAGAGAGCGAGCAAGGGGAAAGAGAGTGAGCAGCGGGGAAGAGAGTATGGGCGGACGGGAGGAGGGGACGAGATGAGGATAAACGGACGGGAGAATGGGAAGCGGAAACGGGAGAAAATTATGAGAGGAGGACGTGGGAACATGCGGAAGGGAGAAGGGGAGGAGATGAGGATGGGCGGACGGGAGGAGAAGCGGAAGGGGAAACAGGAAGAAATGATGAGGGGAGGACGGGAGGAGATGCGGAAGGGAGAACGGGATGACGGATGCAAAACGACGACGTCACGTGGCAGACAGTATCGACCACCTGACACATCGCGATACTCGTTACAAGCTCAATATGCTGAGCAACATTGCGATCCACGACGGCGCTTGCACTTAGCGATAGCGTGTCAAAACGCTACAGCCACTCCTCTGGCTGGGTATCAGCAATCGCTATGACTGAGATAATTCCAGCACTAGAATGGGTTCAAAAGTAACTTCGAAAGACGCACGAAAAGCGGGCCACGATCAAAGCGCGCTTGCGGGTAGACGCCACGCGTTAGCAATACACCTTATAAGGAATATTAGGAAGCTCCGGAAGTATCTAGGAAATTGCGTCGAGCTTCGCTAGAATTCCACGTTCAGGCAGGTTTGGATGGTAGCCTAGGGTTTCAGCCTTGGGAGCTTGTTTGGTGGTTCTCGACGGGTTGCTGGCGTGTTTGAGGGCGCTGTACCAAATTCCGTTTACCACTAATCCCTCCTAGGTGAGTGTCAAACGAAAGGCGGGAACACGACGTTTTGAAATAACGAGTTTCGGACGCATTCGCGAGCTGTTCGTCGAGCACAAGGAGACACATTGGGGGTTCGCAACAAAACTGGTTTTGGGAATTGATCAGACTGGGGCCCCGGGTTAGCAGAAACAGTGCCAACTTGGGGCCTCGTGAGTCGCGACCCTACGAAATAGGCCCGAAGCAAATCACAAGACTGGGCAGCAGGTCCGAACCTGGCAAACTCGCCAGGTCACCACCTACTGCCTTGGGTTTGACGGAAATCGCTAGCACCCCACACCGCTGGAAGCACAACAATCCGTCAAACCAACACAGTCTGATCGAGATACAGCACAAGCAGCATGTAACAAACAACTCGGAATTATTACGGAAACATAAGACTGCCAGAACACAAAGAGCTGAAACATGAAAATTAATAAAATGAGTGGGCACAAAATGGGGAGGTTCATGACCTTTTTCTGTTAGAGAAATTTCAACCAACCTACCCACATTCTTTCAGAATATGTATACATACATATATGATTTACATGCAAGTGCTTCCCTTGTAAAATCTTCGATGAAAAATCTTCTACCGTATTCCCCCGGATATACCACCCTAGGGTGCTATGATAACTACACAAAAAAAAGGGGGGGTCTTGTCATCGGAAAAAGCTTCATTGCACCCGGGTCTTTACATAATGTGTATTTTTTTTATAGCGTAAAACGATTTAGTACAGATGTAAAACAAAAATACAGATGTACATTTAGTACTAATCGTTTTACGCTATAAAAAAAATACACATTATGTAAAGACCCGGGTGCAATGAAGCTTTTTCCGATGACAAGACCCCCCCTTTTTTTTGTGTAGTTATCATAGCACCCTAGGGTGGTATATCCGGGGGAATACGGTAGAAGATTTTTCATCGAAGATTTTACAAGGGAAGCACTTGCATGTAAATCATATATGTATGTATACATATTCTGAAAGAATGTGGGTAGGTTGGTTGAAATTTCTCTAACAGAAAAAGGTCATGAACCTCCCCATTTTGTGCCCACTCATTTTATTAATTTTCATGTTTCAGCTCTTTGTGTTCTGGCAGTCTTATGTTTCCGTAATAATTCCGAGTTGTTTGTTACATGCTGCTTGTGCTGTATCTCGATCAGACTGTGTTGGTTTGACGGATTGTTGTGCTTCCAGCGGTGTGGGGTGCTAGCGATTTCCGTCAAACCCAAGGCAGTAGGTGGTGACCTGGCGAGTTTGCCAGGTTCGGACCTGCTGCCCAGTCTTGTGATTTGCTTCGGGCCTATTTCGTAGGGTCGCGACTCACGAGGCCCCAAGTTGGCACTGTTTCTGCTAACCCGGGGCCCCAGTCTGATCAATTCCCACTGGTTTTCGCACATCCGGCTAACACGGCTCTGTTCAGCTGCACAAAAAAACAACGAACCACCAACACACATAAGTCTAACACCTCGCCAGCCTCGGTCCGAAAGGTTCTGGTTGGTTTGCCAAAAACCAGACTCGAGGCTCCACGGGTGCCCTGCTCCCAATGCCAGGAAATAATCACGCGACGCGACGATTTTCAACTTTCGCTCAATCCTGTGGACTAGCCTCGCGCCGCCCTCCACATTTTTTAATATCTATCAATCCCATGGACTTTCTACACCCGCCAACACAGAACTGTTGTCCTGCGTATTTGTTGTTTTCGAGTCTAGGGTCCCTAGCAGGCCGCCCTTTTGCGAGAAATCGTATCTGACGCAATTCCGCTGCAATGATTGCAAACCCAGCGTGGTTGTTTTTTTGCGCGTCTGCATCCATGATCCATGGACAGTGGCACGATGGCGGAAGTTTTTTTACGTGGACTAGTCGCAGCCGCAAGTATTCTGACCGCGGGCAAAATTTATAAACCCCATGGCTTACGGCATGCCATTCGGGAGCCTCAACCCTAAAATTTTAGGGTTGAGGCTCCCTCGGATGGCATGCCATCCGAATGGGTTTTAGTTTTTTTCTTGCCCGCAGTCAGCTTGCTGACCCGATTGCACTATCTCCTCACGCAAGCAATACAATATATATTCCGAAATAAAACAGAAACAAATGAAGGTTGGGGTAAACCACGCTTGTTTGATAATGTAACTTCCAATCAGACAGTCTCAACACTCTTTCCAGAGTAAGTGTAAAAATACCGTGAAAGCGCATGTAGCAGTCCATGGAATTGATAGATATTTAAAAACGTGGAAGGCGTTGCGAGGCTAGTCCACAGGATTGAGCGAAAGTTGAAAATCGTTGCGTCGCGTGATTATTTTGGGCAACCATTTGGAGTGTCGCACAAAAAAGGACAAATTGCAGGGAAAAGGAGCGCCGGCAATGTAATTATTGATGCAGGGTCCTTGCTGGCAACGAAAATGGCGGGAAGAAGTGTAATGGCCGAAACTCAACGATCGATTGAAGCGGAACGAGTTTCCACAGTCTGCGTCAGGAAATTTACACGACCAAAAAAAATCAGAAGATTTTTTTCCACGTGGTTCATTTCGTTGGCAACCCATCTGATGTGAGTTTAAAGGAATTTGCATGTCAGCAACCCTTTTTTAACCCTTCTATTGGGCAGGAAAAACGTTTTCCAACCCTGCTTAAAGACCCAATGAAGTGGCTTACTTGAATTGCTGGAGCAGCAACCATTTCGACACCGTCTATTGATTTGCCCCATAGAATTTGTAATCATTACATCGGAGTTACTGTTAATACGCGCTGTGTCAGAGGTCCACTGGTGATCCCCGATTGATCCTAGGGAAGGGTTACAGGCACGTTGGCCTGGGGGGTTATGGGCGCACTCACCCGCTACACAAACAAGCCATTTTATCCCAGTGGTTAGTGGCTGGGATTCTGACATGGTATCAGAGCGAAGGTCTCGGGTTCGATTCCCGGTGTGTGCACTTCGGGCATCCCAGTGCGGGGGGGTGTCAGAGGTCCACTGGGGATCCCCGATGATCCTAGGGAAGGGTTACAGGCACGTCGGCCTGGGGGGTTATGGGCGCACTCACCCGCTATATAAACAAGCCCTTTTATCCCAGTGGTTAGTGACTGGGATTCTGACACGCTGTGGTGTCAAATATCCTGGTTAAACTTCCCGCCTTATTTTCCCACGTGGGCGGGAAATTTGTCTCATCGCAGGGAGGGTCGTCCGCGAGGGCGGGAAACTCGTCTCATCGCAGGGGCATCGTTCGCGCTGGCGGGAATTTTCACTCATCGCATGGGGGTCGCAAAAGTCGCAATCAATTTCCCGCCCAAGAAACAAGGTCACCTCAATGAATTTCTGGTGGGGTCACCCTTGCTATCGAACTGGGCCTTGGTTTTGGGCAACCATTTGGAGTGTTGCACAAAAAAGGACAAATTGCAGGGAAAAAGAGTGTCGGCAATGTAATTATTGGTGCCGGGTCCTTGCTGGCAACGAAAATGGCGGGAGGAAGTGTAATGGCCGAAACTCAACGATCGATTGAAGCGGAACAAGTTTCCATGGTCTGCGTCCGGAAAATTTACACGACCAAAAACAATCAGAAGACTTTTTCCGCGTGCTTCATTTCGGTGGCAACCCATGTGATATGTGTTTAAAGGAATCTGCATGTCAGCAACCCTTTTTTTAACCCTTCTATTGGGCAGGAAAAACGTTCACCAACCTTGCTTCAAGACCCAATGAAGTGGCTTACTTGAAAAGCAGGAGCAGCAACCATTTCGACGCCGTCTATTGATTTGCCCCATAGAATTTGTAATCATTACATCGGAGTTACTGTTAGTGCGCGCTGTGGTGTCAAATATCCTGGTTGAACTTCCCGCCTTCTTTTCCCGCGTGGGCGGGAAATTTGTCTCATCGCAGGTGGGGTCGTCCGCGAGGGCGGGAAACTCGTCTCATTGCAGGGGCATCGTTCGCGCTGGCGGGAATTTTCACTCATCGCATGGGGGTCGCAAAAGTCGCAAACAGTCTCCCGCCCAAGAAACAGGGTCACCTCAATGAATTTCTGGTGGGGTCACCCTTGCTATCGAACTTGGCCGAAGAAAACTTGGAAACGGTGGGGAGAATTGGGCGGGAATCTACGTGGCACTCCTTGCGACGAGTCTGAGTTCCCGCCAGCGCGAACGACCCCCCTGCGATGTCTCGTATTTCTCGCCTTCGCGGGAAAACAAGGCGGGAAGTTCAACAATCGTTTCAGACGCCAAAGCGCGCCCTAATAGTGACTCTCGCCCAATTATTACATCCGCGTCACAGCTCATCTCGGGCAAAACGCAGGAGTATTACCACACCATTGAAATTTCTACTTTTCGGCGAAGGAGAAACGGTTCATGTCGGTTGGGGTATTGAGGGATATGTTACGGAAAAAAACAGTCTAAACCAGTAGCATGCCCACTCCTTAGGAAACATCGCACTCGTTTTGGAACCGCTCTGTAAAACACTATGTGTTTTCGAGGTCGAATATTTTGATTGCGATACTTTTTCTGACGCTGACCATGGTTCCGCCAGGGCCCGGGTCAGGAAAAAAAAACACAGAATGTTTCCATACCAATTGGCCGTTGATGTGGAGTTTCAGCCCACCTCGGCCGTTGGACCTGCAGAACGAGGCCGGCAGGCAGTCGGCACTAATGATTAATAATGTTTTGTCCTTGTGCTCCCACCATTGTGCGACAACAATGGTGGGAGCAAATTTTTCGTTTTTCCTATCGAACAGGGCCATGGTTGGTAAATTTGACAATGGTGGGGAGGATCGGGCGGGAAGTTGGTTACGTCTGTTTGCGACGGTTCAGATTCCCCGCCCGTGCGACCCTGCGATGACTCTGGTTTTCCGCCCCCGCGCTAAATCAAGTCGGGAAATCGAACAATAATCCACACCCCAAAGCGCACCCAAAAAATGACTACACCTGATGCGCGTTTTAGTCCCCCAAGGTCGGCTTGTGCTTTGGGCTTATAACCGATTTCTGCAGTTCGTACACTTCGTTAGGGTTCGTCACGGGTTCGATGTGCCTAAATCAGGCATATGTTGTATCATGCTTGTCTTTTCCCCAACAGTACTGGGGTGGCGTTTGTTGTTTGGCTATCGTAGGCTGGGTTACCATGATTTTTGCCCAACTCAAACACGGACCATTTCATTCCACCACATCGCTTGTCACAAATATGACATTGTCAAACCCGCCCAATAACAACGCACCACCTGTATCCCACCCCTCCCCACCACTAATATCATCGACATTGATACAATGCATAGCACATGTGCACAAGGGGTACACAAAACGCATTTGATGAGGCAATTTCAAGCCTCCAAGGGAGCAAAGTCCCCTCTCACAGCCGCATCCACTCTGCGGCAGCCAGGTACCCGCTCATGACGGCGGGAGCACCGGCGTCAATGAGCTCATGGCGGCGGGCCGTCTGAGCCACCCCGTCCAGGGTGGGCACGTGCATCCACGCCGGGAGCACCCTGCCACGGCGACGAGGGGTCTCTGGCGGGGGGGGTGTCAGCGTGAGTCACGGCGGTATCAAGAGCGGGACTTGCGCGCTCCATGCACGCAACGATGATGGGGTTTCAAATGTCGAAAGGGCGCAGAGGTCGCGCGGCGTGATGCACGTCGCACGCGCGTACCCGATCAACATCTCGCACGCCGCGCCCGCGGTACGACGAGCCTCGCGAGATGCGGGGTTGCTATCGTCGTACACCTGCTGCATGTGCGCTGGCTCCTCCCACATGACCGTAGCATCGCGGGGCACCGGCTCCCGCGCAAGTAGATCTTCGCCGGGCTTGGCGGACGTGGGCTGGTTGTCGTCAATCCCCACGAATGCCTCGGTCGAAACACTCTCGGTCCGAGGCAGAGCCGGTCGATGAGGAGGCCAACATCGTTGACCTCCTCATCAAGTCCGATCTCGGTCCCGTCCGCGCCATCGACCACCGTGCCGTCGTTGTTCTGCGGGGTGGCTTCCACGTGAGGGAGGGAGAGTGCCCAAACGAGCGGGAGGCACCCCGTGCGCCACCAGCAGCGCTGGATGGCCCGCGGAGAAGGTTTATCCACGCGTCGTTTAACCGCTCAACCGCGGCCCGCATGTTGGGCCGGAAGCGAGCGACGGTCGACGTGGCACCCTCTGCCGTCCACGTGCGGGTGAAGGCACGGAGCCAGTGCTGCCGGTACCGTGCCTTCGCCATGGAGATAAGCCCCTGGTCGAGCGGCTGGGTGAAGCATGTCGTGTTGGGCGGCAGATACACCATCCGCACGTTCCCGAGCACCACGGTACGGAAACCGAACAGGTCCTCAGTTACCGCACGTTCGGTCTTGAGGGTGTGCTGCTTGCATTGTCGAGCAGCACCACTATCTTCTTGCCCTCGGTGTACATAGCAGCGTCGAGCTGCTCGATGAAATGCGTAAACAGCTGCGGGGGGGGGGAGGGAAAGAAACAGAGCGCGTAATGTGAGAGCGGGGTAGATGGGGTTTAGCATGCACCTTCACAGGGTTGACATGATATGCCTCGGCTTATGTCTTACGTTGCTAGTCATCCACCCCTTGGCGTTGTGGCACCAGTAGCAATACTCCTCGGGGTTGTAATCGGGGCGGAAATCGTGGGGTTGCTTGGATTTCGAGATGACCAATGGCCTGAACACTCAGGTACCGTCGGCGTTGACGAGGAAGCCGACGGTAAGACGTTGCTTCGCGATCTTGCGGCCGGCCGTGTGCACGCTACCGTAGGTTTTCCGTGGCAGGATAGAGATGTACAAAGCGGTCTCGTCAAAGTTGAATATGAGGCTCGGAGTTACGGACAGGTGCATCAGCAGCTGCGACAACTTCTCCTTAATCGTCCGCACGGCATTCATATCCTGGTCGGCCGCCTTACCGACCGCGCTCATGCAGCGAACGCCCTGACGGCGCAGCGCTCGACGAACCCATCCGATGGAGCAGCGAAACGTTGGCGGGGCACCGTTAACCTGTGCCATATTCGCGACATGGTCGTGAATGGTGGCTAGAGTGAGCAGGACACCCGCGGGTCCCTCATTGGCGATCCAGCGGGCCATCGTGCACTCGAGCGCCGGATAAGCTCCGCCACGGACGCGAATGTTGTCGGCGTCGGCATCAGGGCGGACCCACCGATCAGCGCCCTTCAGAATGCGACCAATCGTGCTGCGGTCGGGGCGAACGCCGAGCCTGGTGAAACACCACCGGGAGAGGTCAACATGGCGCAAGTGCGGATTCACGACGTGGTGCTCGCAAGTCGCGCGCTTAATCGGCAGGCCAAGCTGCGTGCGGTGGTAGAGGCGCGGCATGGTTTTGAACTGTGGATGTGGTGTCGAATGAGTTTATCGCGGCTTGGTGTGCCTTCTTATTAGACATTTTTGTCAGACACTAGAAGAAGTGGGGCGAGAGCACTTTGAAATTGTTGTTCTCAGACGTGCTTCTATGCTAGCGCATCTGGACGTGCTTTGAAACCAAAGAGAACCCGGTAACAACAGCCGTGCGAGGTGACGTGTGATTGCTGCTCATTGTGCGGACGGGAATGTGTCTGTATCGAGCAGGTGCAGGTTCCACATGGGGTCGTGAATTTGCCCTAGGTTTGTTTGGCGCACATTGACACCGCTTACGTGTCAGGTGAAAATGCGCGAATGTGGAAACGAGGTTGTGTGGTTTTCAAACACAAGCATTCACGATGTTGACCTGGCCAGAAACCTGGAGGCAGAGGGTATGTCTTGTTTGTTTTTTCATCTGAATACATCTGTGGTTGTATCTGTGCAACTCAGGCAGGTAGCCCAAAGGTGTGTGTAGCGTGGGTGCGGCCCCAGGGCAAAAAACCCACGGGTGCAGAGTTTCTGATTGGCGCAGACCAATTGTGCGTGCATGGGGTGAGCATCATAGGTACCGGCGTAATCATTACAGCGACATCACAGCTCCTCTCGGGCAAAACGCCCCACCATTAGAGCGTGTTACAAAGATTGCTGCTTTTTGGGGATCACGTAGGCGATCCTTACGCAACAGTGTCGTACCTACCACTGTACAGTTATCACTATGTCAGGTGCTGTACCAACAGAGGAAGGATTGAAATCACGAGTTCCTTATGCTACCTGATCTTGGTGTTTTCTGAAAGATCATGGTGACTGCCAATCTCGCGATGATCCATGCATCTTGTACCGAAGACAGGGTGATCCTTGATGACAAAAAAAAAATAGTGTCGCCAACTGCTGTAACAACATCACGACTAATCAGAGCATTATTTTGGTGGAATTCGAACCAATGAGGCTGTTGGTTTTTTTGTTAGTAACGCAGTCAACATGGTCAATGGAAATATCAAATGATCGCGACTGTCGCGTAGTTTCAGGCGACGTAGCCTGGTTGCAAAGGATCACCACGCAATTTTGCAGATGGTACACCAACAAGGATCGTGATGTGCCCCAAAAATATGTTGTTTGACCACCCGTAATTCTACGGTTGGGGTGTTAGTGATCTTAGCTACGTGATTCTTGAAAATCGGGCAGGTGTAACACGCTCTTAGGACACCATTGCCATTTCTACTTTCAGGAGAAGTGGATATCAATGCTAGAGGAGGGGCTAGTTAGGAATAGTTTTTAACAAGATTTAGGTATAAACTGGTGTTGTGAAAAACGTTCCGACACCACTCACTCGTTTTGGAACCAAGCTGCAGTACTCTATTTGTTTTTTGTTTCAAACATTTTGGGTGCGATACTTTTTCAAACGCTGACCGTGGGTCCGACAGGGCCCGGGTCAGAAAAAAAAAAAAAAGAAACATGTTTCCACCCCAATTGGCCGTTGAGGTGGAGGCTTTCGCCCAACTCGGCCGTTGCACTAGGTGAACGAAGCCGGCAAGGCGTTCCATCGAATGATGACTCTACCGGTGCTGACGTGCCACTTTTGGGTTGTCGCTATATCCCCACCATTGGGCGAGAACAATGGTGGGAGCATTTTAGCATTTTTGCTATCGAACAGGACCGCAATGCAAGCTTTGGATGAGTGACTAAGACGCTGCACCTCTAGCACCGAACCTGAGATCGACCCTGCGCAGGATCGAAATTTGAAGGATTTTAAAATGGTTTTGGAAGTTGTAAATGCTTTCAACAGGTTTTTAGTGCGGTGTAACCAGCTACCCTGCGATTGATCGTGCAAAATTTCTAGAGGTGCCGCGTCCCAACTGTCAACGGGAGTTGTTGTGTGGCCCCGTCCTCGCTTGGGCGGAGCCGACTTTGTGGTCGGGTGTAGGGGTGCAGCCGACCTGTAGCAGTGGGCGAGCTGGTCGACGGGGTTGGTCGACCTGCACGGGAGCCACTGCAAGGGCGCCGACTTCGGGAGGGCGCCAACTTCGGGTGGTCGACTTGGGAAGTCGACCTGCCGAGGGCGTCGACTTGGTGACGCCGACCTGGGGTAGCCGACTTGGATGGTCGGCTGACTGGAGTGCTGGTCGACCTGGAGGTGGTCGACCAGGAGTGTCGTCGACCTGGAGTTGGTCGACCAGTTGGTGTGGTCGACCTGGTGAGGTCGACTGGAGGTGGCCGTCGACTTGGGAGGTCGACGGGCACGCACAGGAGCAGCTGGTCGACCTGGTTGCCCGGTCGACCATGTTACCTGGGTGACGAGGGTCTGCGAAGGCACGCGAAGGTCGCTCAGGCGAGGTTGGCGAGGAAGACCTCGGTGGTAGTATCCCGAGGTCGACCTTGCGGATCAGATGCAGTCGTCAGCACGAGGTGGACTTGGTGCGTGCGCTGTGCAGGTGACGAAGCAGTGCGCGCCAATCACCTACGAGCACCTGCGAAGCGGGTGCGATGCTGGACTGCGGGAGCAACGCTGGCACGCCGTCGACTTGCACGGTTGTCACGCCGTCGACCTGCAGCGTTGGCAAGCCGCGACTCTGCACTGCTGGAGCGCGGTCGACCAAGTCGTGCTGGCACGCGGTCGATCGTGCTGCGCTGGCAGTCGACCTGCTTGCATCCTAGCTCTGATGTAGTCTTGTCTAGCCAACTTCATTGCATCATTGTTGTCAACTTTCTCTAGTGAAACTCTTGCCAAATTGCCTTGTGAACTAGCAAGCAGTGTGTGCACTAGGAAAACGACTAAGGACCAACGAACGCAGAGATCACATGAGCACCCGTGCCTAGCCCGTAGTCTAGCTCCCGTTGTAGTAGTTATCTCCGCACCAACAGATTTGTCAAACAGAGTTGCATAGAAAACGAATAAAATGAAGCTTGTGATTGAATGAACCGACGATACAATGAAAGGCACACGAATATATAGCGGGTCAACCTAGCTAGGCGGGAACCTCAAGAACACGAGGTTGGGTACCGGTTGGGCAAAGGAAAGCCGAAGGCGATGCGGGTTGCTTCGGCATCAAGAAAAAGCGGCCGAACGTGCACTTCCGAAAGTTGGGGTTGTATGCGTTTGAATAAACCTCAGTAAGGAAAAGGGTTTTTCCTTGCACTACCCTCCCACCCCTTTAGGAAAGGTGATCAGCATCCGTGCCACGCTTTCGGGTGAGGTAATCCCAAAGCAACAAAGATGCTTCAAGCGAGGCGGATGACACCCAAGTATCGTCCTCACTGGTGCGGTCGGTCCAACGAATCAGAAAGTCCACGTGGCGTCCTGCTGCGTCAAGTAGTGCGCGATGCCACATTTCCGACGGGTCAAGCGTCGGTTCCAGGACACAGCGAGCTGCCGGGGCTGCAGTTTGGCAAGCGATGCCCATTGTGGCCGGTACGAAAGTCTTGAGGAGGCTAATTTGAAATGCATCGTGGATACGCCAGTCGTCGGGCAGCAAAAGTTTCGTCGTGGCGGGTGTGATCATTTTCATAATGCGAAACGGTCCGAAGAAACGTGGGCGAAGCTTTGAAGAGCTGGGCAGGCGGAGATTCTCGGTGTCGAGAAGCACTACATCACAAAACCCCCGTAATAGATTGGTCAAGAATAGGTAGAACGGTGCCAGATCAACAAGAACGGCGCCAGATCAACAAGAACGGCGCCAGATCAACAAGAACGGCGCCAGATCAACAAGAACGGCGCCAGATCAACAAGAACGGCGCCAGATCAACAAGAACGGCGCCAGATCAACAAGAACGGCGCCAGATCAACAAGAACGGCGCCAGATCAACAAGAACGGCGCCAGATCAACAAGAACGGCGCCAGATCAACAAGAACGGCGCCAGATCAACAAGAACGGCGCCAGATCAACAAGAACGGCGCCAGATCAACAAGAACGGCGCCAGATCAACAAGAACGGCGCCAGATCAACAAGAACGGCGCCAGATCAACAAGAACGGCGCCAGATCAACAAGAACGGCGCCAGATCAACAAGAACGGCGCCAGATCAACAAGAACGGCGCCAGATCAACAAGAACGGCGCCAGATCAACAAGAACGGCGCCAGATCAACAAGAACGGCGCCAGATCAACAAGAACGGCGCCAGATCAACAAGAACGGCGCCAGATCAACAAGAACGGCGCCAGATCAACAAGAACGGCGCCAGATCAACAAGAACGGCGCCAGATCAACAAGAACGGCGCCAGCCAGATCAACAAGAACGGCGCCAGATCAACAAGAACGGCGCCAGCCAGATCAACAAGAACGGCGCCTGCCAGATCAACAAGAACGGTGCCTGATCAACAAGAACGGTGCCAGATCAACAAGAACGGTGCCAGATCAACAAGAACGGTGCCAGATCAACAAGAACGGTGCCAGATCAACAAGAACGATGCCAGATCAACAAGAACGGTGCCAGATCAACAAGAACGGCGCCAGATCAACAAGAACGGTTCCAGATCAACAAGAACGGTGCCAGATCAACAAGAACGGTGTCACATCAACAAGAACGGTGTCACATCAAGATATTGGTCCTAGACATGTTTCACCTGCACCCTGCTGACAAGGTTCTCCATGTTAGAGGCGTCGATGTAGACGCCGTTGGGGAAATTGAAGGTGTGCGTGTTGCTGGCGTATGGAACACCATGGTCGACGGCGGTCTTGACCTCCAGCTTAACACGTTTGCACATCTCCTCGTATTGAATCCAATTGTACTCCCATTTGCCGCTCAGCTTTCCGTCGGGCGCATTGTTTAAGTGGGTTGTGGTGGGATAATCAAACAATCAATAGTAACACATGCAAACGAGTGACGATGCATTTGTATACATTACAAGAATTATAGATCTAAGTCCCTAGCCTCACCGCATATAAGATCCAGCCCAACTGACAGGTCTTGATCTTCTTCGTGTTTACCCCACGACGCGCTAGAGCCAACTTAATCGACACCGAGAAGATGAGGCTGCCAAAAGGGATGAGGAGCTCACGATGCCAAGCCAGCCCCCTCTCACCCGAAAGTTGTCTAGGGTAAGGGAGG